ACCACGACACTGAAGTCACGATACGATATTACCACGGCACTGAAGTCCAGATGCGATATTACCACGACACGATATTACCACGACACTGAAGTCACGATACGATATTACCACGACACTGAAGTCCAGATGCGATATAATCACGATACTTAAGTCACAATGCGATGTTGTCAGGATACGATGTTATCACAATACAACGTTGATACGATGTTATCGTGGTTCTTAGGCCTTGATGCGATATTATCACGATACTTAAGTCCCGATACTTAGGTCACGATGCTTAAAACTGCAAACCTTTTGAAAAATGCTTCTTATTCAATAACAAAAAACAAACAAAACAATAATGTAGAATACGACAGAAAAGATGTCTCTGAGTTTTTGGCAGAGCAAATGTGCAGCTTTAATGCCATTAGTCCGTGCTGATGATTATTCTCGTTATAGTTGATCTAAAAAGCGTTAGCTGATGTTGTATCAACCAATCAACCATCAAGACGCTGCTTATGAACATATATTATAAAGTGGAGCTAAAGATCCTTATATCAGCCTTGAATATGTAAACCGGAAATGTATCTGACGTTTAGTGTTATAATGTAAATTTACATATATATAAATTGTATGTATGGAAATCACAACATGCAGTCAATGTAGACCTCTTCAAATCTCAGACCTGAGCTACGCTCGGCTAACCTTGAAGATGATGAAGTATCAGTACTGTCTGACTCCAGCGAGAGGGGAAATAATCCTCCAAAACGGATCTGTTCATATGCACAGCAACGAGAACACGGGAAGGTCGGGGTTTAGGGAACGTGTCCTGACTATGCATCACACACCTGCTGCTCATGTGAATGTAAGTCGGTGTGCATTGTCGTCATTAGTCTCGGGGAAGACGTGAACCCTGCAGAGTCCAGACGTCACAGTCTGGGTGTCTGGAGGTCCAAACCTCTCGAGGCCCGGCTGAACGGAAGTAAAAAAACGTGTGCTCACCTGTACTTTCTGCGCCCGCCGCTTGTCTGCTCTCTGGTTCTGGTGGTAGATGCGGCTGAAGTTGGACACGATGACGGGGACGGGCAGGGCGATCACCAGCACCCCGCTCAGAGAGCAGATGGAGCCGAAGATCTTCCCCGCGATCGTCTTAGGGACCATGTCTCCGTACCTGTGAGAGGGGAGGAAACATTTAGCGTCACGTCCTACGATGCTTTTAATGACGTGGCTCACTGGTAGCTCAACCTTCGACACACACACACACACACACACACACACACTAGCTGACCGTTGATTACTCTCGTACAACACTTTCATCCTTCTTTTTGAGGCTCCTCCGTGCTGCACGTTTCCAGAATAAAGCGACCTGCTGACTCCCTCTCACCCCGAGAGAGGAGAGAAGGAGAGAGAGAGGAGAGAAGGAGAGAGAGAGGAGAGGAGGAGAGGAGAGGAGGAGAGAGAGAGGAGAGAAGGAGAGAAGGAGAGAGAGAGGAGAGAAGGAGAGGAGAGAAGGAGAGAGAGAGGAGAGAAGGAGAGAGAGAGAGAGGAGAGAGCGGCTGCTCCTGAAGCTGAACGACACAGTAAAGTCCACCGACTCATTGACGGAGAGCAGACACTATTAACCTTCTACAGAAGAGAAACAGGAGAACCTGCTGAATGCCAGCGACGTTTCCCAAACCTCATTTAGCCCAATTCAATCTGAAATATTTGCACGTCAAAAGCAATCTCGTCTTGACTTCAACGACCGACAACACAATTACAATAACTATATTACCCCCCCCCCCCCACACCCCCCCTTTTCCCAAGATGGAAGCCGGTGTGCGGGAATCAACGGTGGAAGGAAAAGACGAAGGAGAAATTCAAAAGCTCAAAGAGCTTCAGTGGGAAGAGCAGCCTATATTTCTAATATCTTCATTTCTTATTCATGAGTAAAAAGGTAATTTGTTCTGGTTTTTCAGCTAAACAATAAGTTCTGCCGAATTTATTAGAACTGACAAAGCCCCGTTAAATAAGCCTGAAACAAAAAGCATTACGTCTAATTATGTAAAGACTTATTGTTTGTTAACATTAATAAATCTAAATAAATAAATAAAAACATCAATACAATAAATCTAAATAAATAAATGTACATAGAGGTGTGTGTGTGTATGTGTATGTATGTGTGTGTATGTGTGTGTATATGTATGTGTGTGTGTGTGTGTGTGTGTGTGTGTATATGTATATGTATGTGTGTGTATGTATATGTGTGTGTATGTATATGTATGTGTGTGTGTGTGTGTGTGTGTGTGTGT